ATCTATCTTCTATCTATCTATCTATCTTCTATCTATCTATCTATCTATCTATCATCATCTAATGTATGACTTTTTTGCCTGCATGTATTTAAGTGAAGCACATGAGTACAATGCCCATAGAGCCCAGAAGAGGGTATCAGATCCCCTGAAACTGAAATTACGGATGGTTGTTAGCCATATGTAGGTTCTGGGACTCAAACTCAGGTCCTCTATCTGAGAAGCCAGTGCTCTTAACCACTAAGCCATCTCTCCAGTCACCTACCCCCTTTAAAAATATTTATTTTGGGCTGCAAACATGGCTCATTAGTGGTTAAAAGCACTGGCCTCTTTGGCAGAGGACCTTGGTTTTGATTCCTAGCACCCACATGGCCCCTAATAACCATCCATAACTCCAGTTCCAGGGGAATACAACACTCTCGCTGGCCTCCACAGGCATTGCATGATATAGTGCAGTTACACACATGCAGGCAATACACTCAAACACATAAAATTTTTTAAAATTATGTGTACGTGCACATGTGTGCGTGTATGTGCCTGTGAGGATAGATAGTCCAGGATACCAGAGACCTTGGATCCCCTAGAAACTGGAGTTACAGACAACTGTGATCCAAACAATACTGGGTGCTGGAAATCAAACTCAGGTCCCCAGTCCATGGTGCTTAGGGGAAGTGGGGGGACCTTTAGAGAAGGTGGGACCTAGTAGAAGTAAGTTAGGTCACCAGGGGCAGATATGCCTAGAGAAAATTAGGACCCAGTCACTCCTTTCTCTCTTTTGCTTTCTCGACACCATAAAGTGAAGAGGTCTCCTCTGCCACTTGCTCTTGCCACAGCCCTATGTTGCCACAGGCCCAAAGCAAAGGGTCACGCAAGAGGCTGAGGCCTTTCAGATTGTGAGCCCAAACCAACCTTTCCTCATTATAGGTTTATAGGAGCCTTGGAAGGAATCATTTTGGGATGAGAACATCCTTTGAACCCACCAAATACAAACATCCCAGCTTTGGAATGTTAAATAAATGGCCACCCAACTCTGAGCAAGTAATCTAAGAGGTAGTGGCATGCTGGAAAAGACACCCCTAAATTTCTTCCCTGACCACAAAAGTGGTTTAGATGACTTCTCTCTACAAGAGGCATCAATGAATGCAGAACGCCCTTCCCCAGGCCATACCCACGACATAGAGCGGAGCCTCTGTGTGCTTAATGTTGCAGCTGTTGCCAGCGATGCAGGTGTAGCGACCTGAGTCCTCAGGGGCCACGTCGTGGATCACCAGGGAACCGTTCTGAAAGATGTGCATCCTGCCGAGAGAGAAATCACAACAGTGTTCACCTGGCCAGCTCCCAGGAGACTACAACTGCAGGGGAAGTAAAGTGGCTACAGAAGGGAGAGCGTCCTACCTGGGTCCCAGTTTGGTAGGGTCCAGGATACGATCTTTGCCCTTCCACTGAATGAGAGGCTTGGGATCCCCCTGGGCCTCACACCGTAGCAAGGCTGTGTGGCCCTGGTACACGGTCGTGCGCTCTGGTTCTACCTTGAAGGTGATGAAGACTGGATGGGAAGAGACCAGAAAGGGGCAAGAAGTGGTGAGTAATGGAGCTGGTGGGGTGCAAGCTCTTGCTCACCAGACCCTGCCAGCTCTGACCCCAAGGCCCTGCCATGGTCGCACCTGCCACAGTAAGCTGGACATGGGCACGGATCTGGCCCTGTGGCCCATTGGACGCAATGCAAGTGTAGTTACCAGCATCATCTCGGGTTACTCGGGGAAAGTGTAAGGTCCCAGCGTTGTCTGTCACCCATTCAGGGAGACTGCTCCCATCTGCAGGGGCAACGAGGAGAAATTATAGGACAGACTAGAATTACATGAGCACCTGGCAAGGCCCACAGTTATTCATCTGTACCCAAAACAAAGCATCACTCCTCAGGCAAAGTTCAAACTCAAAAGTTGCCCGTTATTTACTTATTTCCCTAATTTCCCAGTGTCACCTGCTTTTACTACCTATGCAACACTTCACTTGTGCCAAACTAGACTTCTGATCAGGCCAAGAACTGGCCTTGTCCTCAGTTCACCAGCTGTCACTCCTCACTCCTAGAACCAGCTGTCTGCCATCCCAGATCCACTGTCAGATCTACTTCCAGCTTCACCTCTCCCGGAAAGATCCCGGCACAGGCTGCAAAACCCATAACCCACGCTCACTCCTGCAGATGGCACAAATGTGAAACCTGGTCTGACCCTGTAAGAAACAATTTGGTGCCAGGTATGGTGGCGAATGCTTTTAATCCCATCGCTCAGGAGGCAGGAGCAGATGGATCTTTGTGAGATAGAGGTCAGCCTGGTCTACATAGTAAGTCCAGGCCAGCTGGGACTCCAGGGAGACCCTGTCTGAAAAAGATTTTAAAAAAAAAGAAAGGAAGAAAAAAGAAATGATTTGGTAATTCACATTGAGGGCTATAAAAATGTTTATACCCTTTTACGCAAATATTATTTCACTTCTGGGATTCTTTCCCAAAGGAAACAAACCTAAATCCAGAAAAATAAACTCCACTAACCTTTAGATTAAAGATTTATTAGAGCAATAAAAAGGCAGGAGTAGGTAACAATCCAAGTTCCTAGCACTTAGAGAATATTTAAGTAAATTACAGTGAATCCAAATATTAGACTATTACTCTAATAATCAAAACTAATGTTTATGTGTAATATATAAGGGCATGGGGGAAATGCTTAATAATGTCCAATTAAAAACCATATAAGGGGGCTGGAGAGATGGCTCAGTGGTTAAGAACACTGACTGTTCTTGCAGAAGACCCGGGTTCGAATCCCAGCACCCACACGGCAGCTAACAGCTGTCCATAACTCCAGTTCCAGAGGATCCGACAGCCTCTTCGGTCCTCTGTGGGCACTGCACGACAAGAGTGCACTTACCTACATGCAGGCAATACATACATACACATAAAATAAAAATAAATAAAATTTAAAAAAAAATCATATAAGGGCTGGAAAGATGGCCCAGCAGTTAAAAGCATGTTCTGCTCTTGCAGGGGACCTGAGTTCAATTCCCAATACCCATATCAGGCAACTCACAACTGCCTCTAACTCCTGTAACTCTAGCCCCTGGGGATCTTCTGGACTCTGTGGGCTCCTGCACCCATGTGCACATACTTACACACAGATATACACAAACACAATTTAAAAAAATAAATCTTTAAAAAACAAAACAAAAAAACCCAGGTGTGATGGTGCATGCCTTTAATCCCAGAACTTGGGAAGCTGAGGCAGGACAACTCCAAGTTTGAGGTCAGCCTGTTCTGTATAATGAACTCTAGACCAGCCAGGGCTACATAGCAAGATCTTGTCTCAAAAAACTAATTAAAGCCCAGAGGCTGAAGAGATGGCTCAGTTGTTAAGAGCACCGGCAGTTCTTGCAGAAGACCAGGGTTTGAATCCCAGTACCCACATGGTGGCTAACAGCCATCCCTAACTCCACTTCCAGGGATCAACACCCTTTTCTGTCCTCTGTGGGCACTGTACAACACAGGTGCACTTACATACACACAGGCATAACACTCAAATAATACACATAATATTAAAGGGAAAAAAATAACTAAGGCTATATGGAGCGCTAACTCAGTGGTTAAGAGCACTGGCTCCTCATGCAGAGGACCCAGCAGAGGTTCCCAACACCCACATCATAGCTAACAATAGTCTGTAACTCTAGATCCAGGGATCCCACAGCCTCTTCTGGTCTCCCCAGGCATTGCAATATGCATGTGGTACACTTACGTACATGTAGGCAAAACACTCATGCACATAAAATAAAAATAAATGAAATTCTTTAAAAGTTAATAGAAATAGCTAGGGATGTAGCTCAGTAGAGGGACTTGCTTAGTATATGTGAGGTCATAGGTTCAAGTCCCACTCCTCTACTACTTTAAACAGTCAAATAACTTTTTTTTTTTTTTTTTTGGTCTTTTTGAGACAGGGTCTCCCTGTAGCCCTGCTGTCCTGGAACTCACTATGTAGACCAGGCTGGCCTTGAACTCACAGAGATCCACCTGCCTCTGCCTCCTGAGTGCTGGGATTAAAGGCGTGCACCACCACACCCAGCCAGACAAATAACTTTTAAAAAGAATAAAATAAGCATGCCTTACCCATGAAGTGTAATAAATAAAAGTTGTATGCACAATGAAATTATTACTCAAAGGTAAAGGATGCACAGAAAAAAGGAGACATACTTAAAGACAACAAAAGGCAGAATCTATGTACTTCCCTCTCACAAAGTTTCCAAAACAGGCCATATTACTTTGGTGCCAGCCGGTAGAAGGGCACTTCAGCACTGTGGTACCAACCCATCCACTTGCTACCTCGAGCGAGTGATCTTTCTGGGTTGCCCAATGCTGCAATTTGACCCCTTTGGGGTAGAGTTTTTCTGTTTCAACTGGATTATCAATCAGTCTTAAATATCTGGTTTAATCTACACAGTTCCGGGTGCCGGACTGGGCACTCCCCTGGCCCTCAGATATACACACATCTGACCAGCTGATTGCCCAATCTGGCCCCATGCTGTGTCACAGGGTACCCACCTGCCCGTACCCACTTAATTGTGGGCTTCTCTCGGCCAGTGGCTGAGCAGGGCACCGTGGCCTCCTTATCAAACTCCATGCACTGCTGCGGCTGGGGCGGTGGTGTGAACTTGAGTTTTTCTGTTTCAGTGTGGAAAAAGAAGAGGGATTGAGTCAAGTAGAGAGGACAAGGCCAGTTCACTCCCCTTCACTCCCCTGCCCAGATGGGTCAGACACTCTCCCAACACATCACGCATGCCGACTCACCCAGCACTTGGACACGGGCCTGGGCCTCGATGCTGCCAGCTGGAGTGCTGCTCACACAGCGGTACCACGTCCCGTCATATACCTCCACACTGTTGATGCGCAAGGTCCCATTCTTAGAGACCTCGAACCGTGAGTCCTGCAGGACACAGACTTGAGTATAAGAGGGCTAGTGCCTGAGGCCATACCTACATCTTGTGGAGGTAGCCTCAGAGGAGAGAGAGCTCTGGGGTTGAGCACTGAGAAGGGTTACAGAGAACTCCCCCATCTTCCAGAAGCCATCCTTTCTCACCTCCGAGATTAGCATCTGATTCCTGTACCAGATGACTGTGGGTTTGGGTGTGGCCTGTGTCAGGCAATGCAAATAGCCCGGTTTGCCCTCCTCCATCTGACTGTCCTGGGGCTTTTTTACCCATGTGGGTACAGCTAGAGGGACAAGGAAGAACAGATAAGGTTGAGTAGTAATATGTTTCCAAAGCCAAAGGATCCAATTCCAAGAAGTTGTAAAACCCCACTGGGTCAGAAACTCCAGGCTGCTTGAGTGTCCCAAAGGCCTGGATGCCAACACTTTTCCAACAATCACTTAGTTATTTCTATAATAACCCCCAAGGTATGTATTCCTTTTCCCCATGTTCTAGCTAGGAAAACAAGTTTAAAGAAGTAATGGTGATTTGCTAATACAAAATAGAGAACAGATTTACAGTGGTTTGTAAGACTCTACCACTCTTCATCCAAACCACCTGTTCCAATGTTAGTGTTACAGATTAAACATACTTAGGTTCGTGTGTTGAAGGCTTGGTCCCCACTTGGTGGCACTATTTTGGTAAGTGTTGAAAACTAGTAGGAGTTGGGGCCTGGTTGGAGGAAGAACTCCACTAGGAGTGTGCCTCTGAAGTATATGTCTTGTTCCCTGGCCCTTCTCCTTGAACCCCTAACTCTGCTTCCTAGCCACCATGAAGATGCACAACCTCTGCCTCATGTTCCTGCAGCCCATAATATTCTGCTTCAGCTCAGGCCCAAAGCAACAAATCCAACAGAACATGAACTGAGAGCTCAGTTTAAATTATTTTTCTCAGGTACTTGTCACGGTGGGGGCGGGGGGACAAAACAGCACACTCAGTCCTCAGAGCAGTTTTATTTTATTTTACCTATACTATCTCCTTAAGTAATTTCCTGCAATCTGTAACCTTCAATACCACACAAATATCTGTTTCCCAGTCCTATACCCTGATTCATGACCTCTCCCCATGAGCTTCAGACCTGTAACCCCACTGCCCACTGGCATTTCCAAAGGGCTATCTAGAGGCATTCACATTCATGTGCTAGCCGGGTGTGGTGGTACACTTGGGAGGTAGAGATAGGTGGATCTCTGTGAGATCCAGGCCAGCCTGGTCAAGCTCTAGGCCAGCTGGGGCTACAGGAAGACCCTGTTTCAAAACAAACAAACAAACAAACAAAAAACCACAAAACAAACTTTATGTTTACAAAACAATACCCCATTTCCCCAAAACCTGTACACCCCACACACCCTATCTCAGTAAGTAACATTGCTACCCAGCCAATTGCAGAAGCCACAGGTCCAGCCTTGACTGTCCCCAAGGTCATCATATACATTCTAGAGTAACCCCACCTAACTTTAGTTTCAAAATTAATCCTGACTTCCACCACCGCTCCTCTCTACTACTACTGTCTCTTCAAGCTCATTCAATAGTTTCTCTGGATGACTATAGGCATCTACTTCTGGCCTCCCTGTTTATACTCTATGTAACAATCAAAAAATATTTACTTATTTATATTTTATGTGTATGAGTGTTTTGCTTGCATGTATTTAAGTGCGCCACATGCATGCAGTGCCCACAGAGGCCAGAAGAGGGCATCAGGTCTCCTGGAACTAGAGTTATGGATAGTTGTTAGACACCATGTGGGTGTTGGGAACTGAACCCAGGTCCTCTGTAAGAGCAGCTACTGTTCTTAACCACTGAGCCATCTCCCCAGCCCCTATACGCCTTTTTTCTTTTTTTTTGGTCTTTTTGAGACAGGGTCTCCCTATAGCCCCAGCTGTCCTGGAACTCTGTAGACCAGGCTGGCCTTGAACTCACAAAGATCTGCTGCCTCTGCCTCCCAAGTGCTGGGATTAAAGGTGTGCGCCACCATGCCTGGCTTATACTCTTTTTTAAAAAAAATATTTTACTTATTATTTTTGTTTTATGTGTATTGCCTGCATGTATGTGAGTGCACCTGTGTCGTGCAATGCCACGGAGGTCAGAAGAGGGCTTCAGATTCCCCTGGAACTGGAATTAAGGTCAGTTTGTAGCTGCCATGTGGGTGCTGGTAATCAAACCTGGGTCCTCTGCAAGAGCAGTCAGTGCTCTTAACTGCTGAGCCATCTCTCCAGAGCCCCCCATACGCTTTTTAAAAAATATTTTAAATTTAATGAATATTACATTTATTCATTTATATTTGTGTGTACGTGCATGTCTGTGTGTGCCACAGTGCATATGTGGTGGTCACAAGACAATTTGCAGAAGTTGATTCTATCCTTGTACCACGTGGATCCTGGTAAACGAAGTCAAGTTGTCAGACCTGGCGGCAAGCACCCCAACCTATAGAACCATCTCACCAGCCTCCTGTTTATTCTCTGGTTCCTAACATTCCAGTCTATTCAGAAGAGCCAGAATATCTGAAAAGCGAGTCATCTGTTTAAAATCCTGCAAGGACTTCCAATCTGCTCTGGTGAGGCTGACTGTTTACAAGGACAGTAGTAAAAAGCCCTCCCATTCCTTTCATCTCTCTTTAATGTATAGCCACATTTTGTCCATCAAGAATCAGTTGATTTCTCTACTTCCTGGAAGCTGGGTGGCCTCAAGTCTTGCAATAGAAGCACTGAAGCTTCCATATCTGTCCTCTTGGAATCCAACTTCTATGTGAGGAAACTTGATCTAACCAGACTTATGAATGAGACCATCAGAGACCAGCCAGCTACCAGCTCGGAAGTGACTAACTACAAACACACGTGGGAACCCCTCCAATAGCCCGTGGAGCTCATGAACCCTCGAAGGTAAACCCCACCCACAGAATTATAAACATACCAATGACTCTTTCAAGCAGTAGGGTTAAGAGCGGCTTGTTACAAGGTAACAGGGAAAGGCCACATCTGAATACGAGCTAAAGTTCTTATTGTGTTCTTATGAAGTCTTTACCTTTCCAACACCAGCACTTATTCAACTCAAGTCCCACAGCCAACTGTCTTCCAACTCACAGGCCTACCTGTGGCTGTGATCTCTCCTTAGTTTAAGTATGTGGGCTTTAATCTCTTGTTTGTCCTGCTATTTTCATAGTAATATTTCTTAAACTTGCAAAATATAACAAACTGAAACAAAACTACCATGTTGACCACTGTTACTTCCCAAGAGAGAAGAAAAAAAAAAGGGCAGGGAAGCAGCTCAAGGGTAAAGTACCTGGTGCACAAGCATGAGGACCTGAGTCTGGATTCCCAGCACCCACATAAGAGCTGGGCACAGTGATGTGCGTTTGTCACCTCAGCACTGGAGAGCGGAGACAGGAGGATCCCTGGACATCACTGGCCAACCACTCAGGTACAAACAGTGAGCTCCAGTTTCAGTGAAAGACCTTGTCTCAAAAGATAAGGTGGAAGGGCTGGAGAGATGGTTCAGTCGTGAAGATTGAGTTCTGTTCGTCCAGAGGATCTGAGTTTGCAGGACCCATATTAGAGGCCTCACCCATATCAGATGGCCTCCTCAAGCACCCACATGCACACGTGCATACTAATACACATATGCACACTTAAACACACATAAATAAATCTTAAAAAAATAAGGTGGAGAGTGATAGAGGAAAAACACTGACTTCTGGTCTCACATACACAGGCAAACACAGCCATACATACATGCATACACCACATACACACACAGAAGTCTTTTTCATTGATTGCATTTGATCTTTCCAACTACCATGTATTAGCCCCAGTTATGGACGAGGAGACAGAGCCATAGCAACACAGGCAACTTGCTACCCATGGTCATGACCTGCACTGTGAGCAGAATAGGACCCAAGTCTCCAGACCTCAAGTCACTGTTTTCCTCGGATGCATACCCCTACTGCTGTGCTTTACATGCCATAGTTTATTCCTCAGTACCTCCTGGCAGGTGACTGGTTCCCAAAGTTGCAGGGCCCAGAGCTGAGAGGGCCCCAGGTAAGCACAAGGGAAACATCCCAAAACCTCCTGGGACCTGAGCTCCCATGAAGCTCTCCTGTGCTGTGCACCTCAGGGCAAAAGTACTCACTGGCCACAGTGATGTTGATATCCTGTCGCCGCTGTCCAGCCAGGTTGGCTGCATGGCAGGTGTAGACACCAGCATCACTCTCAGCAGTGACAGCAAACACAAGTTCATGGGCCTTCTGATAGACCCTGCCATGCGTAGGCAGCCGGACTCCAGCATGTTCCCACCATACAGTGGGTGTAGGCAGACCCTGGGGGATTGGGCAGGCTACCCGCTCCTCACCGCCAGCTGTGAATATCCGTGGTTCAAATGGCAGCATGTCTTCAATATCTGTGAGGATGTGATTGGGAGGTGAATAGCTAGATTACTGTATATGGGTTTTATGTGATGTTCTATAGCAAGCCTAGGCTCCTGCCTGCCACAAATCCTCCCCTCCACATCTCCCCTTCCTAACACCAGCATCTTCTTACTCTTTCTACCCTTAAGGATGCCAGCTAAGTGAAAAGAAAAGTCTGTATCTCAAGAAGCCAACAACACTGGCATCAGTGCACATTTGGCATCATGTACCTACCTGCCAGGTGAAGTGTAGCCTTCAGGATGACGGGTGGGCCCCTCAGCCCCTGGCCAATGCAACGGTAGACGCCTGCGTTTCGTGGCCGGACTTGGGTCAAGAGCAGGGAGCCGTTGGCAAACACTGTGGCTCTTCGGATATGTGGGGGACTGTGGGGGGAAGACAGTACCGCTTAAAAAAAGTAGTCCATAGGCCACTCTGGAGACCTCATGACCCCATTCTGTAGGGGGACACAATAAAATCTCTTCCTATAAAGGTCTATGCTGTTTGGTGTGGGAATGTGTGTACATGTCTTCATGTATATGTGCAGGTCTCTCTGCCTATCCCTCTCTCTCTCTTTTTTTTAATAGTTTATTTTTATTTTATGTGTACAAGTGTATTGCCTGCATGTATGTGAGTGCACCTGTGTCATGCAATGCCATGGATGTCAGAAGAGGACTTTGGATTCCCCTGGAACTGGAGTTAAGGACGGTTCGTAGCCACCATGTGGATGCTGGGAATCGAACCCAGGTCCTCTGCAAGAGCAGTCAGTGCTCTTAACCACTGAGCCATCTCTCCAGCCCCTATCCCTTTCTCTTTTTTAAAAACTATTATTTTTATTTTATGTGTATGAATGCTATGCCTGCATGTAAGTAAGTTCACCCGTGTCATGCAGTGCCTGTGGAGGACAGAAGAGGCTGTTGGAGCCCCTGGAACTGGAGTTACGGACAGTTGTTAGCTGCCATGTGGGTGCTGGTAGTCGAACCCGGATCTTCCACAAGAACAGTCCGTGTTCTTAACCACTGAGCCATCTCTCGAGCCCCGATCCCTCTCTTTTTAAAAGGTATTTTTCTTTTATGTGTATCAGTGTTTTGCTTGCATATATGTAAGTACAATGCCCACAGAGGCCAAAGAGGGCCTGGAATTGGAGTTAAAGATAGTTGTTAGCCGCCATGTGGGTGGTGGAAACCAAACGTGGTCCTCTTCAAGAGCAGCCGGTGCTTTTAACTGCTTAGTCATCTCTCCAGCCCCATTTCATAAATTTTTAAAAATTTTACTTATTTTTATTTTATGTGTATGAGTGTTTTGCCTGCATGTATGTACATATATCATGTGCATGCACTGCCTGTAGAGGCCAGAGAGAGTGATGGATTCCCTAGAACTGGAGTTTTGGATGGTTGTTAGCTGCCATATGGGTGCTGGGAACTAAACCTAGGTTGTCTGCAGGAATAGCCAGTGCTCTTAACTGATATGTAGTTTCTCCAGCCCCTCCGTCTCAAAAAGATTAACCAGGAAACCTAGGCTGGCCTTGAGCTTACTCTATAGCTGAGGCTGGCCTTAAATTGTGTGCATGGTGTATACATGTGCTCACCAGTGTGTGCACATGTGCAGGCCAGAATTCAATGTCAGGTGTCCTCTTCTATCACTCTTTACCTTAGCTTACGAGACAGTGTCTGTCCCTGAATTTGGAACTCCCAGTTCTCACTATTTTTGCTAGACTGACTGGTCAGCAAAGACTCTAGGATCCACCCATCTCTGGGCCCTTATGGAAACATGCTGCCCATCTTAGCTTTTTTACATAGGTGTAAAGCAAAGACCCCAGGATCTACCTATCTCTGGGGGTTACAGAAACATACTGCCACTCTCGGCTTTCTTACACAGCTGTTAGGGATGCAAACTCAGGTCCTTATGCTTACATAGCAAGCACTAGACCCACTGAATCATCTCCTCAGTCCTTGGCCTCATATTTTTGATGTCCCTGCCTCAACCCCTTGAGTGCTGGGCTTATAAGACTAAGTCATCAGGCTCAGCTTGCAGGTGTGTTTTCCAACTGCAAGAGACTCAACTGGGGGGCTGTGGAGGTAGGTATGAGGCCAAGAGCAATGTAAATGAAAGAGAGTGATAACTATTAGAATAGAGGGACCACTTTCCTGCAGGCACCCCAGCTCCAGGGGCAAGAGCTCCTCAGCCAAATCAGATGACCTGATGATGTCACTGCAGAAACCCTAGCCTAGCGAGCCACACTCCCAAGGACCATGGTTATGCCTGATCTGTCAGAGATACTCTCTCCTCTCCTAGGGCCTATGCAAGGACAGAGGTCTCTGTAGAGAGGCAGAACCTTCTGGAACCTTACAGAAGGCATTTTCTTCCTCCCAAAAATGTGTATGTGGTAGGTTCTGTTATGACCTTGAACCTTTCTGTCCAGACTGTGACCACATAGGATCCCTATGTACCTCTTATCCCTGGGATTCAACCCCCTCATTCTAGATGACCCATGTGGGTAAGAAGAAAAGTAGCAAAGCCGACATTAGCTCATGGAGTGCCCATGAAGGGAATCAAATACGGTGCATCCCAGAGATGCTCCCTTGGTTGAATATCTTTCTCTAACAGTCAAACACTCCACTGCCATCTGCTGGGAAGCTAAGGAAATACATGTTCACCATGGAGAAGTCTGATGTCTGATTTGAACTGAATCACTGTGAATTCTGGGGGAAAACACAGCACAATATACAATCGGTACTGTAGTATAGGAAGGCTCCCAACCAGATGTCTTACCGGGTGCGGTTAGTGATGGCAGTATCATCCTCAAAGACCCACTGCAGGCTCGGGGGTGGCTGGGCCGAGAACTGGCAATGGAACATTGCCTCCTCATTCTTTGCTACAATAATGTCCTGGGGTGTCAGCACCACCCTGGCAAAGCTTTCATCTAGGGCAGGAAGCACGGAGGAGGTGAATGGGCGGGGCAGTGTGCCACCTCCCATTTGCCTCACCTCCTTTCTGACCCCCACGACAGGCTCACCAGCAATGCTCAAGGTGAAGTTCTGGCTGCTACAGGCCTGGCCAAAGGCATTGTGGGCACAGCAGGAGTAGAGGCCACTGTGTTCAGGACTGGCTGGTCGGAGGGTCAGATTCCGTTCCTTGCTGCTGATGGTGTGGTTGCTCTGACCATCAGAGATGGGAGTCCCATCTCGGAACCACTGATAGGTGGGCCTGTGAGGCACAGGGTGGTCAGTAGTGGGGAAAAGGGGATACTCAGTGACCAGTGGAGGGGATACAGAATCAGAAAGTCAAACTGGACACTTTGGTTTGCAAGTGGAGGAATGGAGGCCTGAGGAAGGGACAGGGTTTGCATAAGGATCAGAGATTCCAGATCTTTCAAGTTTCCAGAATCCAGGGTCACCCCATGCAGTGTTCACCCTTTTCAGGTCATGAGGGGCTGGCTGAAAGCATGTGGGGAGTACATGTGCTTAGACTAGGGAAGACATTCCTCCCTGTCTCTATCCTACCCTCCTTAGCTCCTTACCGAGGGTGCCCATCAATGTGACAACGAAGGGTGACCTGGGTCTGTGGCTGGATCTCAGCTTCTAAGGCTGGATGCTTCAGGACCACAGGACCTGCCTCAATCCCTGGAAGCAGAGGCCACAGTTGCAATTAAGGGCAAAGCAGAAAAGGTGGGAAAGCAGAGGAGGATGGCAGGATGCCTCGGAACCCTGAGGCCCTAGAGCTGTACCTGGGGCTACTGTACCAGACACAGAGTACCAGTTCTTTCCCTGGCAGGTCAAGGCTGATACTTGCCAAGGACTTCAGTGCCTTTCCCATGTGTGAAGGCTGCTGCCAGATAAATGAGCCCAAGACTTGAAATGTGAGGCAGGTTGTTAAGAAAAAAAAAAAAAAAAAAAAAAGAGCAGTACAGAGCTGGAGAGACAGCTCAACTGTTAAGAGCACTGGCTGCTCTTGCAGAGGACCTGGGTTCAGTTCTCAGCACTCACATGGCTGCTAACAACTGTCCATAACTCCAGTTTCAAGGGATCTGACACTCTCTTCTGACCTCGGCGGGCACTGTACACATGGGTGCACTTACATACACACTGGCAAAACACTCATTAAAAAAAGAGTAATACTTTATCAGTGACAATAGAGTGTGCTTAGGAATCCACAGCTAGGGAAGCAGAAGGGAAGGGATGAAAAGAATGGAGGGGAGGAAAAGAGGGAGGAGGGAGTGGGGGAGTGGGGGAGAAGAAGATGGACAGAAGGTAGGAGGGAGGGAGGGGAGAAAAAAACATTTAACTTCCTCTTATCCACACAAACAGGATGAACTGACCACTGAACTCCACCTGCCCCATTCAACTGGCAATGAAACTGAGGCAGAAGGCTCCCCAGGACTCAGAGAGTCTGACAGAGGCACCAGGCACAGCACCCTCCTTCCAAACAGGCTCTCACATTTGATGTTGAAGGAGGCGTTGGCACTGCGGGCTTCCTCTCCGGTGATATTATCCCGAGCCACACACTGGAAGGCGCCAGAGTCCTGCAGTCGGTCCACAGCTGCAAAGCTCAGGCTGCTGCCCTGGGCAAAACGCCGCTCGGTGTCCTGCACAGGCACCCCATTGAGCAGCCAGTATACCTGTACTGGGCCTGGTGCCTCAACCTCACAGCGGAGCAGAGCTCGACGCCCCTGCAGTGCATCCTGGGAGGACGGCTCCTTGATGAAAATGATGGCTGCCTGGGCACCTGCAGATGGAGACATGGGAGAAGCACGGTGAGAAGGAACTGCAGATTCCATCCTAACATAGGAAGGAAGTGGGCTATGAACATGGGTGGGCAATAAATTCAGGTGTGAAGGATGAGTCTATAATTGACTGGAGAGATGGCTCAGCAATTAAGAACACTAGCTGTTCTTGCAGAGAACCCAGTTTTGGTTCCCAGCACCCACATAGTGGCTAACAACTGTCCATAACCCCAGGGATCTGACAACACTCTCTTTTGGCCTCTGTGGGCATGGCACACACATGGTGCTTTTACATACATACAAGTAAAACACTCATAAACAATAAATGAATAAATAATTTTTACAGATCCTCTGAGGAACTTGAACTGGGCAGGGTGTTCTGCAGAATCCATAAACAAAGTACCCTCCATTCAAGGGAAGACACACAGGACAAGTACACAAGACAGGGTCACCGGCAGATGGTGCCTGTGGAGTGTAGAAGAGGAGGGAGCCCTGAGGGTAGGGTGGAGGCTGGTTGCACCGAAGCTTCCTGGAAGAGAGGGCCCCAGACCTGCAGGACCAGATCCTAGGAGTTCTTCAAACCAGGCTGAGAAGTGGGGAACATAACCATGTAGCTCTCCCTACCACCCAGAATCAGCACTGAACAAAGTTCAGTCCTGACCTAAAGAGCAACCTGGAAAGATAACAACTTATTCTCAACAGCCCGAAACAGAAATGGCCATAGGTCAGAGAAGCTTTGCAGCCCACCTACAGATGCTTTGCAGTCCATCATCCTTAGAGGTTCCTCTGTGAGAATCCATCCCATCACAACAGTCTCTAGACATATGAGTTATAGCCAAGACATGCGAGAGTTGTCCCAATACCCTCTGCTCTGTCTCTTAGAACCTGGTACTGCTAAGGCCACAAGTGAGTTCATGTTTTCAACCTCTTGAACCACTGTCATTTAACTCTGGCTACAGCCAGAACAATCACGGACGTGGGGGTGGGGGGCTGTCACCAAAGGAAGAACCACAGTCAGTTGAAACAAAGGGCCAGACACCTGTACTAGGCAGATGGGTTAGGGAGGTGGAGGGCAGGGCCAGGCAGGTGGGCGGTATAGTTACAGCAGTGTCAGGAGTAACACACTGGGCTTTGTTCTTGCCCTGTGTGGGTGCCTTACAGAGTACTGGGGTCAGTGAGTCTTGAACATGGGAGAGATATTCCCAGCCACTCAGAAGAAACAGGTTCTAGGCTATACAAGAGCAAGAAAATACTAACAGGGTCCTCCCAATCCCTTCCCAAGTCACTAGAGATTCATCTTGGCCCAGAGAGCACTCGCTCAAGTTCCTGGAGGTGAAGTTTGGTTCTTTAGGGTATGAGAATCACTCTTCTCATAAAGACTGTGCCAGGACAAGTCCAGAATCTATCAAAGCTGGGTCAAGATGAGGGGCTGTTCTGGTTGTCAGTCCATCTCCCCACCTTTCCGAAGGTGCCAGGCCATATCTTCCAACACAAAACACTCAGGGAGCTGGCAGTGTCCCAAAACACCCTCATTCCTTCTCAATGGGGCCCAGTTGGTTCTCTGGGCAGGACAATTCTCCACCAAGCTGGGTGATCCCACCCACTGTGCCAGTTAACAAATCTTCCTGCAGGCACTGCTGAGCACCCCCAGTTGCCGTGCCAACCCAAACACTTCCCTACACATTTCCAAATACTCCAGAGGGGTGTGGTTCTACCCCTGCTGGGCATCATGGTACAATCCCTTTGTCACAATCAAAGGTAAACCCAGGTCCAGAAATATGAAGGATCTTCCCAAGATCTGATAACTCGGGTGTCGCAAAGCCAAGCTCACAACCAAAGAAGCCAATTCCTCACCCCACGCTCTTCCCAGCCCTGCCCCTGCAAGTAAGTACCTAATCCTACAAGGAAGAGTCACTTTCCCCACGCCAGGTTATGGGGCAGACATGCCTCCCCCAGATAATACCAGGTCCACAAAAGTCATCCAGAGAATACTGGCTGACCTGAAGAAAAACCTCAAGGCAAGGACAGGCCCTGGCATCAAGAATACTTCTTGACTATCTTATGAGAGGCACATTTACCTTCAGTCCAAAGGTCTTCTGCAAATTCAACTCGCCAAAATCTTGGAACTCACAACTCCAAGATACTCTTCAAAGAGCAGAGAGATGGGGGCTGGAGGGATGGCTTGGGATTAAGAGCATCAGCAGCTCTTGTAGAGGACCAAGGGCTCAGTTCCCAGCACCCACACAGCAGAGCATATAACCTTAACATCAGTTCCAATGCCCTCTTCTGGCCTCTATGTGCACTGCATGCATCACACCTACATACATGTAGGCAAAACACTTATACACATAAAATCCAAAGACCAAAAAAATAAACAAATAAAAATAAAATAAAATATTTTGAGAAAAAGAGAATGCTGGTGGCTAGGGTGTGTAACTTGTTGCTCAGAATAGCTATGAATACAGCCCAACACAAAATTGTAAACTTGCTTAAAACACTACCTTTTTTTTGGCCTTTTGGAGACAGGGTCTCCCTGCAGCCCCAGCTGGCCTGGAACTTACTATGTAGACCAGGCTGGCCTCCATCTCAGATCCTCCTGCCTCTGCCTCCCTGGCCTGGATTCCAAGTGGGTGGTTTTTTTTTTGTTTTTTTTTTTTTTGAGACAGGGTCTCCTTGTTCCCCCAGCTGGCCTGGAACTTGCTATGTAGACCAGGATAGCCTAGACCTCACAGAGATCTACCTGCCTCTGCCTCCCAAGTGCTCGATTAAAGGTGTGTGCCACCATGCCCAGTCTTACATCTGGCTTTGTATGTTGGTGCTGGGGGTTGAACTCAGGTCTTCATGTTTATACAACAAGCACTAGACTAACTGAACCATCTCCCCAGCCCTGAGATGATCTTTAATTTACTTATCTGTGTGGGGAGAGTATGTGCACATGTGGCAGTCCGAGGACAACTTGTGAGAGTCGGTTCTCTCCTTCCACTGTGTGGATTCTGGGACTCGAGCTCAGGTTGTCAGTTTGGTGGCAAACACCTTTACCCATGCTGCTGCCCCTCCCTGTGAGACTGTGTGTGTGTGTGTGTGTGTGTGTGTGTGTGTGTGTGTGTGTATGCATGAGCATAAAACATGATCTCACAGTCCCTGTGTGTGAAGTTTATAGATGACAATGATGTGTCTGTCTTCATGTCAAATGTTGGACACCCCTGAAAGAACCCCACTTCCCCACTCAGCTTCCACAGACATGGTGGGGAGCCCAGAGCCCTGCTCCTAGAGAGGACCTGGTAAAGGTTTAGATTCAGACAGATCACACTTAGATCCTGTTATACCCTGTGTGCTGCACACAGGAGGGTGTTGTGAGCCTTAAGTGCAGTAATGTGTGTGAAGAGCCTTGGCTAGAATTCACCTTCAGTAAAGGCTGCTACTGTTAATCCCATGACCACTCTTCCTGCTCAAGGACTCAAATTCTCAGAACATTAGAAAGTTCCCCATTTGCCAAGGCCATGGGCCATGTTCAAACCCTGGACAGGGGAGGAGCTACCCCCCCCACACACCAAGGAAGGGCTGAAGGAAACAACCAGGTGGTAGATGGGATGGAAGAAATGGGCCCTGGGGAAGGGGGGGTGCAGGAACCACAGAAACCTGAGCTTGAGAGGAGCCTGTATAACTCAGAGGGACTCCAGCTCAGACTCAGACAGACAGACAGACAGACAGACAGACACACACACATACACACACACCCTCCCTCAGCCTCCAGCATTCCCTCCTGGGGCCAGGGCTGAGCTTCACCAGAACTGTGGTAAGAGATGCTACATTCCCAGACTGCCACTCAGAGCCCCCTGCACCCCCACACAGGGCCTGGGAAACATCAAAGCCAGCCCCGAGGGGGCCTCTGTCCTGACGTCAGCTCACAGCAGGTCCTGGTTAGTGCTTGGCTGGGGCAAACTTTAGATGTTTCAAAAGCCAGCAGGAGCCTCTAGGCTTCTCCCAGCCCCTGCTTGGTGCAACTCAGCCATGGGGCTCCTCTTTCAGGAGGCTGGCCTGGTGCTGTGAGAAAGTAATGGGAATGTGCCCAGGCTGCCAACCTGCTTGTGGTAGATGTTGCTCTGTGGTTGTTTGAGGGAGCCTTAGAGGCAGCGGGGACTCCTCGATAGCAATGCCAGATCTCAGGAAAGGAGGGGCTGGGATGTGAGGCACTCTTCAAAAGCTTTGCTTATGCCAGTGACAAGACATGGAATGTAGCCATGACAGGCTTTTTGAGGCTAAGGGAGTACCTGACTCAAATTGCCATGTTTCTGCCCCTTACCCCTGACTTGAGGATACCCCCAGTTCTGAGGGCTGGAAAAGGCCTTCTCTGATGACCCACTGGTCCTGGGCTTCCCAAAACTGCACAGTCTCTCATCATTGGGCCTCTCCACATATCACCCTATTGCACGTAGCCTCGTAGAGTTGCATCAAAGCAACTCACCCAATATGGTAGTCTTCCTGTCATCGAAGAGCCTCACCCTGTTACACTCTCTATGGATGCCACTTCAGTGTGTCCCCTACCCCCTTCTCTTTGCTGTGGAATGAGGATACCAGGCCTACTACTCCAGGCTATTTGAAGGTTAAGAGGGTTCATACAACCAGTCATATACAGCATGGAATACCCAGAAGGAAATGTTGCCTAGGTAGGAGCCTTGTCCATGGGGCACAGAAGGCCCAAGAAGCCCCATAACAACAGCAAGCAGGCAGAGCCATCTGCCTATACCCAGCAGTGACCTCAGCCCAGCTGGAGCTATGAATACCCAATAAGGACATTCTCCAAGGCTCTCTAACATCCATGTCTACAGACACTCTATGTACCTCTAGTTCCAGCCCCTCAAAAATGTGTCAGTGATTAGTCCAACATCCATGCCTGCTCTTTGCTCTCCACAAGCATCTTGTCTGACACTCACTCTCCCCTCTGGGCTCCAGGCCCAGCCAATTTGTATGCATGGGTATGTGTACTCATACACACATGTCA